GTGATTTTTGTGGTTTTTTGTAGTTTTCAAGAATAATTTAAACCCTGAACTTTTTATTAAAGACTTTTACGATGGGGGGGAAATAAATAGTGTGCCGAAATACGCAGAATAAGAATGTTATTCGGTCATTTCATAAATAAGATTATGTTAGCATAGACGTAGGCATATACAGGGAATAAGGCTTAATTTATTTAACAGTGTAAAGGCATTTAGCACTAGCATTGTTTATTTAAATAATAATGTTCTATATTTTCTGATCAGGTTTCCTAGATAAATTATTCAACGTAGAATTTGGCTGCAAAATCTATGCTTGGTGGAGGAAAACATTATGAAAATGAAAGAAGCCTTAGTATATGTTCTGACCATTTTTGTATGGCAGATATTTATGAAAATTTAAGTGGTAGACACATCTTAAAACATAATGCTGTACCTATCAAGTAAGTACAGTATTTATTATGGGTATTTTTATTATATGTAAGCTCTAAAATTATACAGTAATCATCACATTTTACAGAATTTTGGGAGAGGTAGTTGAAGAGGCGAAAAATGAAGAAAAAAAAATACTTTTTTTTAGTGCAGTTCGTAACGGATGCTTCAATAACAATCTCACATGGAGATTGTTTCAAAATTGTTATAAAAAATTATTAATTCATAATGAAGTAAAGTCAAATAAAACTGCCAATGCAATTGCTTTAGATGGCACCAGCATCTTCGATTGTAGCAACACTAGTAGCCAAATTGCGTTAAATTTAAAATGTTACGAATCAGACACTAAAGAAAATTTGGAATTTACAAATGAGCTTCGTGACCATGATTACCTATCTATATATTTTCTGAGCGAATACATTCAGGATGTAATTGCTTATATTTCTGGTTTTATAGTAAAATCCTTAAAGAAAAAGATTCACTGCAAACAGTGTTCTGCAATTGAACCAGTGAGTTCGAAAACCGTAAAAGTCTCAAATTTGACATTTCAAAATAAGCCATTTCGTTTAAAATTTGTCTCTTCATCAGGCGAGTTCGGATAGTCAGGGGCTGGAGCGGGACAAATTTTAGGGTGCTTTTCAATGACATTTAAGCGTGTTAAACCGTCACTAATCGGACTAAACCGAACGCTAAAAGGGTCGTTTGGAGTTAAAAGTGTTAAAGGAGTTAAAGGAACTTGGCAGACCGAACGCAATGATCGATGCACTATTTCAGTGATGATGTAATTATGGTTCCACTGACAATTAAAGTGACAGTAGATTTTTGGAATGCGTTTTGTTCGTTTTGTTTACCTAAATTATATCGTTTTTTTTCACTTTTATAAATATATTCCTAAAGTAAGTAGATAGCATGTATCAAATATACAATCGTTTAGTTACCAATTATATACCTTTAAACTATTTTTTATGACCTGTAAACAATATTTTGAAATAAAATAAAAATAGTAAAAACGTATATATTAAATTTATTGATGTTTTTGTTAAAAGTTTGGTTAGAATTAAATGTCAGTCGAACCAAAATGACATCACACTGAACTAGCGCATTGAGCTTAAAAACCGTACTAGATACCTAGCTGTTAATGTAGTACAGCTGATTATACCCGTGAAATTAGGTGAAAAACCGTACGTACCTGCGACTCGTACGGCTTTTCATCTCAATTACAAAATAATGGTCAGTTGGAAAAACACAAATACTGAAAATGAAAATTACATAACTGAGATAACAGTTTTGATAGTGTATTTTTCCTCCTTTTTGAATAAATATAAAATAAATCTTTTCTCATCGACAGACTTTCTGTCTCAACTGTCAAAGGTGCTACTTTCTGTTCTTAATACACAAATAGCTATTTTGTCTTTTATTCCAAAATATGCTTTACAAAATATCTTATAACACTAAATAAATCTATTGAGTAGATTCTTCACCAAGAGTATTTGTAGGAGTAATCATGATAGTAAAATGACATTCGAAATGTCACAAAAGAAGCTTCCTTTAGTGTTTTTTCTATTCGGACAAATTAGAAATAAAGTATCTCTTGATAATCTTAAGCTAATGTATTTTAGCCTTGTCCAGATATTATAAAATCATTGCTGATTACTGTCCTAAATGAGTTATTATATCATTACACAAATAATTCTAAAAATAGGTGTCGTGACATGCAACCCAAATGGTATGTAATAGAAAGATCATATTTGTATATTTATGTATCTGAAATAAAATTGTTCTGTTTTTAATAGCTTTTTATTTCATAAAAAAAAGGTAGTCCGGCAATATAATTATTCTTTTTTCGACCTGTAATAAAGGTTTTCAAACAGTACCCATGTAAAAATAATAATAAATGGCTTTATATTTTTACTTGCTCTTTGCTCTTCATGTATTTAAAAAAATATATATAATAAAATACTAACAAAAATGTTCTTCCACTTTGAGCTACCTACTATTTTAAACTATAAGAAAAAATATAAAATGACTTTTTGAATGTCCTGTATAAATTGAATATGTTTTCTTTAAATTTAGCTTTGATTCTGAAGACCCATAGATTATTGATTTGGTCATTAAATAATTTTTACTAAAAATATATGTAAACCCTCCCGAAACACGTCAATGTGCAACGTACGATTCCCCTTTCCCCGTCTAGTAAAACATGCGGACAGAAGGTGTATTGGGTATACAGTGTGTAGGGCGAGTCTATCTTAGATAATATGATGTCTATGTCCAAAACATTGCATATAACCAAAAAGTAAAAATAATGACATAAAACGTCAAACATGAAAAAGCAACTAAAATGTCATAAACAAATCTGTTAGAAGTTCTTTGTGGGCTCGTCAAACAGGACGCGAGCACCACAACTACTTTCAAGCATCTATCAAATAATGAAGAAATTGTTATATTTTTAGATCCGCCACATATGCTAAAGTTAATTATACTTATTTATTATTTAGGAATGTAACGTTAGGTCCTAAATACCTCCTTTCGTATACTACATACACTGGCCTTCAAGATCGCCTGATTTTAATCCGCTGGATTACCACGTTTGGGGATATCTAAAAACAAAAGTATATGTATTCCACTCCCATAAATAGTACAGAAGAACTAGTTGGGAGGATAAAAAACGCGTGCGAAGAAATGAAAAATAATCCCGATGTACTCAGAAAAGCCGATATTTTAAAACGAGCAAGAAAATGCAACGAACAAATTGGAGGCCATTTTGAACAACTCTTGTAGTTTTTAGTAGCAATAAGGTTTATTACTTCATTTCTAACATTTGTATTTCTTTGTATAATTAGTTGTTATTTTGTATTGTTTATTATGTATTAATTAGTTATTATTTATGTGTTTTTCCTTTAGTTGTAAATGTTATTATTTGTTCTACTGAATGTTAGTCTCTTTCCATATTATTATCCTACATACTATTTATTAAAACTTACATGGAATAATTTATACAGGGTGCGGTCGAAAAAAAAATAATTCTGATTTTTAGCCCTAAAACCGGACCTAAAATTGTTTTTTGAAATGGTGTAGATGCATACAATTATAAGTATTGACATATCTGTAGCTTTTAGAAATATACCTCTTTAAATAATTTTAAATATACCGTAATAAAATTAATAAAACTCCGTTTCCAGTTTGTACCTCCAAAATGCTCAAAAATAACAATTTGGACTTATAATTTCAGTAGTAAAATCGTCTGCGCAAAAATAAAATGTACATTATTGGATTCAGTTTTTTGTGCTCTTTTCAAATATGAAAACAAAAATTTCAAATTCAGACATACAGGATGTTGTATTAAGGATGGACGAATTTATTAATTTTTTGTAAAGACGGACCTGGATTTCGTTTCTTGTTTATATTTGGATTTGGTAAGTTACGGTGAATAAGTATGCCAAATTTCAAAAACATATACAGGGTGGTTAATAAGTTATGAGTCTGGAAAGAAATAGGCCAAATTGATAAAACACCTTGTATCTCGGCTATAAAGGTCGAAAGACCCATTAAGTATGGGTTATTTGGAAGCATCTCAGTGTTCTCCATCCATGGTTAAAGGGAGTCCCTTTACCAATGAAACACCCTGTATATAGTTTTTAAAAATTAATTTATGAAAGAAAATTGTCTGTTAATTTTATTTTGCAAATATAAAAAAATAAGATTGCTTCAAGTTTAAAAATATGAATTTTCTCTTAAAAACTTACTAAAAACTTCCGATTGTAAATAAAAATTTGTAAACTTCTAATAAGTTTTCCATACACTTACGAAATAAATTTTATTTACAAGCCGAAAATAAACTTACTGGAAGTGTTTGTAAGTTTCTTTGTTTAGGGGGTAATTTTTTTTTAAAAATAGGCCTATTTCGGCCCAGCCTACTGTACAGTGTGTTCCAAAACTTTTATGCTAACGAGAAAAATTTTTATCCTGCATTTCTCAAAAAAAATTATTCTTACTAAAAACTTCTGCATTCATAATCAAACATATTTTGTAAAATATAGGTGTTATGCAGGGAAAATAGAAATAGAGTTATCGAATACTTAAAATCAAGACGAAAGTAATAATACCCGATTATGGATGTAGGACTTTTATCAAGAATATATTTTTTTGTGTGTATAAAACTTTTTGGAATATACTGTGTAATGGATTGCGACGTATAAAGTGTATTCATATATTGTTATTAACGATATTACACACATGAGAATAGTAATTTGATTTTTCAAAAAAACATCGTGTAATTAAGAATAGATTAAAGTGCAATAATTTTATGAATTGCAATAAACAACAAAAAAAACCAGCAAGACTTTCCATTTATTTGTTTCTATTGAAAATTATAAACATAAAATTTTTTCTCTTCATTATAGTTTGATATTTAATCTAGCAGCTGTACGTTACCTTTTTAACGTGAAATTAGAAATCACATACTTAAGAGTCTAAACAATGCTGCGAAATAGAGAAAGGTATTTTAATTATATTGTATAACCTTATTAAAACATCAAAATTTTACAATTAAATACTTAATTTTTCTATTTCAGATCTAAAAATCAAAAGTTGCTGCTGGAAAAAGTGTCGGGAGTTAGGTTAAATTTATCGAGTGACGTGATATGCACCTGACATTCTTGATGTAATGCGAAATAAACTTAATGCTACCGCGTGTGCGGCCCTTTTGGATAAAGTTAACTTCGGTGATTCTCATTTGTTACTCTCCTTATCGGTGTTAGCACTGATAAATGTTATGGTAATAGTCGGCAATTGTCTCGTTATTGCTGCCGTATATAGTTCGTCGAAGTTACGTTCCGTAACTAATTTCTTCATAGTGTCGCTTGCTGTCGCCGATTTGATGGTGGGAATTGGCGTTCTGCCGTTTTCTGCTACTTGGGAAGTTTTTAAGGTGAGTTCTTTTTAAGATTCTTAATATTCTTAAGAGGCCCCGACACCACTTGATCAATAGACCTTTTCATCACAAATTTTTTTTGTGCGCATGCGTCAGTTTCAGCCATCTTTTTCGTACTGTTTTTGTAAACAAGCTCTTGCTCGGAGTAAACAAGTACCTATGTTAAAATGCTTACGTGAAAAAAATTATAATTGATAAATATTAATTTTTTAAGTCTATATTCATTTAAAAAATCTGATGTGTCCAACACATGACTTTCCTATCTAGTTATTATAGGCATTTTCCGGTTATTTTGTACAACCTATTGCAGCATCTCTATAAATGTTTAGAGGATAAACTAAATATATACATTTTCCACATACATCTACCTCGAAACATTTTTCTATAGATATTCATTGAAAACGAAAATACAGAAAAATTTAAATTTAGCACTTTTCCATTACGGTCCATTTTAGAAAAATCATATATAAACAAAAATTATAGAAATCGATATCGCAAACAACTTTTAGTTCAACAATTTTCATAAAAATCAGAATTTTGCACATTTTGTCAAATTTCTCGAATACGGACCATTTCAGGAAATTTTGACATAGAACAAAAATTATAGATAATAATATTAGAAGTAACTTTTATTTGAACAATTTTCTTCTCCAAACATAAATAACAGATATATTCCATAAAATATAAAAACGGCCTCCCATAAAGTACCCCCCCAGATGTTCCGACTTTGTCCAAAATCTAATCATTTCACGTCAGGCCGAAATAAACCTTAAGTTTAAAATTTAATGTTTTTTCCTTTATCCGTTTTTGAGTTTTCTTCAAATTTCGAAATTTACACATTTTCTCAAATATCTCGAATACGGTCCATTTTAGAGAAATTATGTATAAGACAAAAATTATAGAAAATTATATTACAAACAACTTTTATTTAAACAATTTTTATAAAAAATTATTTTTTTTACATTTTCTCAAATTTCTCGAATACGGACCATTTTAGGAAAATTTTGCATAGAACAAAAATTATAGATAATCATATTAGAAGTAACTTTTATTTAAAGAATTTTCTTCTCCAAACGTAAATAACAGATATATTCCATAAAATATAAAAATTACCACTTATAAAGTACCCCTCCAGATGTTCCGACTCTGCCCAAAATCTAATCAGCTCATTGGACGCTAAAACAAAGCTTAAGTTTAAAATTTGGTGTTTTTTTGTGTATCGGTTCATGAGTTATGCGTTATACAGACACACACACACACACACACAGACACACACACACACACACACACACACATACACACACACACACACACACACACACACACACACACACACACACACACACACACACACACACAGACAGACAGACATCATCGCGAAAATAGTCAAAACGGATTCAGGGGACCTCAACACGTAAAAATCCGTCGAAAACTCGAGGTCGAAAAAAATCATGATTCCTATACTTTCCTTATATCTGTATACAGATAGGAAAGTAAAAAATCTGATGTGTCCAACACATGACTTTCCTATCTAGTTATTACAGGCTTTTTCCGTTTATTGTGTACAACCTATTGCAGCATCTCTATAAATGTTTAGAGGATAAACTAAATATATACATTGTCCACATGCATCTACCGCGAAACATTTTTCTATATATATTCATTGAAAATGAAAATACTGAAAAATTTAAATTTAGCACTTTTCCTACAATTTTTCCATTACGGTCCATTTAAAAAAAAATCATGTATGAACAAATATTATAGAGATCGATATCGCAAACAACTTTTATTTCAACAATTTTCATAAAAATCAGAATTTTGCACATTTTGTCAAATTTCTCGAATACGGACCATTTCAGGAAATTTTTACATTAAGCAAAAATTAAAGATAATAATATTAGAAGTAACTTTTATTTAAACAATTTTCTTCTCCAAACATAAATAACAGATATATTCCATAAAATATAAAAACGGCCTCCCATAAAGTACCCCCCAGATGTTCCGACTTTGTCCAAAATCTAATCATTTCACGTCAGGCCGAAATAAACCTTAAGTTTAAAATTTAATGTTTTTTCCTTTATCCGTTTTTGAGTTTTCTTCAAATTTCGAAATTTACACATTTTCTCAAATATCTCGAATACGGTCCATTTTAGAGAAATTATGTATAGGACAAAAATTATAGAGAATTATATTGCAAACAACTTTTATTTGAACAATTTTTATAAAAAATTATGTTTTTACATTTTGTCAAATTTCTTGAATACGGACCATTTTAGGAAAATTTTGTATAGAACAAAAATTATAGATAATTATATTAGAAGTAACTTTTATTTGAAGAATTTTCTTCTCCAAACGTAAATAACAGATATATTCCATAAAATATAAAAAAGACCACCTATAAAGTACCCCCCCAGATGTTCCGACTCTGCCCAAAATCTAATCAGCTCATTAGACGCTGGAATAAAGCTTAAGTTTGAAATTTGGTGTTTTTCCGTGTATCGGTTCATGAGTTATGCGTTATACAGACACACACACACACACACACACAGACACACACACAGACACACACACACACACACACAGACATCATCGCGAAAATAGTCAAAACGGATTCAGGGGACCTCAAAACGTAAAAATCCGTCGAAAACTCGAGGTCGAAAAAAATCATGATTCCTATACTTTCCTTATATCTGTATACAGATAGGAAAGTAAAAAGGAAGAAAAAAGTAAAGTAATAATAAGTTTAGTGTCTTAATTGAAAAATACATTTTCACAATCAATTATAATTATGTTACCTGTACGGAAAGAAATAACAAAACAGTGTTGTTATGTAAAAGTGACACACGGTATAAATCATTCAAAGGCAATAGATATTATTTTATATATTATCCAAAGCCTTAACTGCAATATCGTAAACAATTATCAGGCAAAATCCATATTAAAAGATATTCGAAATGTGCATTAAGTGTGAAAAAATATGGTCAAAGTGACAACGGTTTTCGATGGATTAATGATGTTACTAAAGATACTTATATTTCACTGCATTTTCATGGAGAAAGTGGTCCAACAGAAGAAAATTCGCATGTGGTTATTATGTGGTATTAAACAATATTTTTTTAATATTAAATACTACTTCGGTATACACATTAAATGATTAAAAATGTCATGTTGATCCTCAAAATAATAAATAATTTATTTTATTAATTATACTCGTGATTAACTTTCATGCTAATTAAAGTGTTTTTGCAAGTAGTAATAGTTGGTTGGCATAATTAATTAGAATAAAGTTATAATTATTATTTGTTTTCATTAATTTTTTACAGAGTTAAAAAGTATTGATACACCTAACCTCTCAATTAGTCCACTTTGTTCCTTTGTAACAAACATCCAAGACACTTCAACCTCCTTTTCAACTGCCTACAACTATGCGCTTCCACAGAGTTATAAAAAAGTTATTCACTATCAACGATTTTTTCTAATGATTAATTTTTCTGTAGAGATAACATTGCTTTCCCAGCCATTGTCGATCAAAACAGTACGAAACTTTTGAATTACCGCTATTTCAACATGGTGGCTGCGCTTGCGCTCATCACATGATGAAAAGGTCTATTCAAATGCGAGTTTTGCTGGTCACGTCGTGTCTAGCATCCGTTTCTTTTCATAGAAGCAAATAATATCAAATGAGGATAAAGTGAAAAAATAGTTTATAATTAGAGATGAGCGAATATAAATAATACGAGTAATAGAAGCGACGTCATGGTTAGCAAACCGATTTTTAAACTATATACGCCAATATGACGAAAACTATGCAAAAATTCGTAAATTTTTTTCTTAATTATTATTAGACAAAAACATAAGGATTCTAATAGTTTTTAAATAATAATTATATCATAAGTAATAAGCAAGATAATTATTATAAAGTAACACTATGTCACCATATTATTAAATCGTTGAAATTGATGTAATTATTGACTGTATGTTTCACTGATTCTAATCTTTATTTTAATAGAACAATTACAAATAATTAGCCAAATAAACGTAAACAAAAACAGAGCGTTGCAAAAGTCAAATAGTCAATATCAATCAATGTAATCCCGCGTTCTTGTTCGGACGGCACATCCATCGCGCCGCGCAGGGTTCTTCGACCGTCTCTTCTTATTGGCTGGCGCAGTGTCGCGTCACACACTGTTGACACCGTTGCCGAGCGTAATATATATTTATTGTATGTGTTTATCTGCAATGAATGTCTTAAACATACTCTCGCCTTTGAAGGGATGCCTTTAAAACAGGTAAACAGTTCGGTAAGAATAGCACGTTTTAGTTTAAGCACAACATGATAAAAAATTGTTTTTTTTAAGTCTGTTATTGCAATATAACTTCAGTTTCTTCGAACGAATCATATTGTGCTAACTTGATTAAAACAAAAAAGGAATTGTTAATCTCATTAGCTTGTAAAGGTCCGTGAATACGATTAGGTAATGATAGTTTACAATTATTTACAAATCTATAGCAATATGCAATTATACGCTTTAACTTATTAATATTTGAAAATAGTTCGAAAATACTATTGTGAGTACGCACAATGTTTACTGTGGTAATCTTTTTAACTTCTAATTCGGTTTCTGGTTCCACAAATGTTTCGGGCCTAACCAAATCATTATGAAGCAAAAAATCAGGACCGTTCCACCATTTATTAGAACCGTGGAGTACTTGAGGGGGTATACCTCTAGAAGCTGGGTCAGCTGGGTTGTCTTTCGTGTTGACATAATGCCAATCCTCTGTATTGGTCAAAGACTGTATTTGTGAAATACGATTGGCAACGAAGACTTGAAATCTATTTGGCTCTGCCTTTATCCAGGCCAATGCCACTTGAGAGTCAGTCCAGTAATAAATTGGAATGGGGGTTTTTAATGATATAACTACTTGTTTACATAGTTGTGCTACTAGAAGAGCAGCACACAACTCAAGTCGTGGTATTGAAACCAATTTAACCGGAT